CCGCTGCGTCCTCTCTTCCGGCTGCTCCACCCCAGAGCCACTTCCACCTGCCGGATGTATATACGCGTCCCTGCCCACCTCCCACCCAACCCCAAGTCCATGCGGGCTTCCCTAAGTGCCCCCTGTCCTCTCCGCAGCAGGTAAGGGGACGCCAGCGACTGGCGCCCTCCGGTGCCCCAGCCCCGGGTCCACCCTTCTTCCCGCACCGCTGCGGGACAGGGTGGGTGTGCTGTACGGAGCTTCCCTCCCATCTCCTTTATTCTCCGAGTCCCGGGCTAGCGGCAGAGCTGTACATACAGTGTGCAAAGTGTATATGAAGTTATTTATTCGTGACCCATGAGCCCGTGACCGTGTCCGTAAATCAGTGAGTCTGTGGCCTGTGCCCTCCCAGTCCCAGGTGGGGCAGGAAGAGGGCTTGCTCATGCATCCGGGCCCCCAGCCCCACCCCTCCACCCAGGTCCCGGGGCAGACAGGCCTCTTGGGTTCTCTTTTTTAAAAGTGGAAATAAACTTCTTACAAATGCGCCCGTCCGCGCTACCGTCCGTTGATTCCCACTCAGGCCCTCTCCCACCCCTTCCTTCATAAGCAACTTCGGCATCTTACACTACATTCGCACAAAGTTTTGTCTCCCTCTTGCCCCGCTCCCCGGTTCCTAGGGGCTGTGGTCATGCGCAGGAGACCCCGACTGGACTTCCAGGGCTCTCCCGGTTTCCACACAGAGGCGAGTCTGTAGCGCTCTGCCTCCCCATCTGATTACACGTCCCGCTTCCACACGGGGACCACGGGGGAGGCTAGCTCCTGGCCTCCCTTTACTGTGCGTGTCAGGCCACGAAGCACTCACTGAGCCGACTCATCTGGCTCAGACCAGGGCGCCGGCAGCTGGTGACCGGCCCTTCAGGCTCGAGGCAGACAGATGGACTCCGAGGCTGTTCCCTGTTGTCCCACCCTCCTCGGCCCCGCGCCCTCCGCTCTGGCTACCCGCAGCTCCTAGTCTCTAAGGCCTGGTAGGACCCCACGGGCCTTCGCGAGCTTGACACCACCTCGGGCAACCCTCTGCTCTCCATCCTCTAACCGCCCCTCAACCCACCCCCGCGCACCGCCCTTGTCCTGAGACAAATAGGAGTGGGAAAGGGGGCAGATCGCACCACCCGCCTCTCCGACATCTCGGGGAGTCAGACTCCAGATCACGTTCAAAGGGCCAAGGTCATCTCCTGACACCGTTTGATCTCCCGGGATATGGGCGCAGGTGCTGCCCTCCCCCACACCACCTGCAGCACACTACCTACAAGATGGACATGCGGAGGAGTTTGGATGCTTGCAAGCAAAGTACCCACCCAGCATTCCTGGCCCAACTGTTCTGAGAGAGAACCTGGCAGTGGAGGGAGGGGGCGTATTCAGAAAGCATCCCACTCTGCCACAACCACAGCCAGTTCGGCTACTGTTTCCTCCCCACCTCCCCGGATCCTCAACACCCAGGCTTTTCTTTTCTGGGATGGTGGAGGTATTATTCTAATTTTGCAAAATGCACAGCAGCTAATTAAGTCAAGGAGCCCCTCGGCTTTCAAGTTCTTTTGCATGTGAATGCGGGTTGGTAAATCCCTCGATCTGGCTGTGGTGGGGTGTGAGGGGGGACTGTCCCCAACTCAGGGTTAATGAAGTGGGAAAGGAGTCTCTCATAGCCTCCTGCAAACAAAACCCCCCAAGCAACAAACCCTGCCCAAATCCTACACGGATTGACTTAAACCCAGGGGATAAGTGCTTTAAATTAATCTCATTGAATAAGAATGAGACCAAACAAAACTCTTTAAAATCATATTAAAAATCTATCAAAGGACAACTTGCGGTGGTGTGCTTTTCATTTTGTGAGAGTGGAGGAGGCAGGCTGGAGCAGCCACCCTCACATTTACACAGTGCAGTGTAAACCGCAGACACATTCTGACTATGTAATTGTCCTTGTACCGAAGAGGCGATTTCATATCTTACATTAATGAAGAACAAGGCTTCCCTACAAGTTTATAATTACAATATTTTAAATTGTCCTGAACATCCCATCTGCAATAATAACTCCACAACCTCTGCAGTGAGGTGGGCTTGTGCTTCCCATCCATTTAGAAGGCTAAATTGGTTTCTCTGTTCCTAACCAGGGGCTGGGTGCCCTCATTTAAAATAGAAAAAAATAATGACCATGAGAGACCACCAGTGGATCAAACAACAAGCAGGCTCTGAAATGCAGATCCTTCTAAATGTGGACTCCAAAGGGTGGGGCAACTAAGTTTAAGAGGTTAGCTTTTCCAGCTGGCCCTCGGCTGCAAGGCTTCTGGAACCTGGGCTACTTATTTTATTTTTTTACTGGGGGACACTATCCGGACAACTTGGCTCTATATTTTCCTACAGTCTAGCAGACTGAGAAAGTTTGATGGTCATGGAGGCAAATTGGAAAGGCCCCTTAATCACTTCTCAATCAGGGAAACTTGTCACTGGAAAGGCCTGAAGTTCCCATCTCTGGGACTGGCTTCTGCTGGCTGTGTAACTTCTGGACCTAGTCACTGGCAGCTTAGAATCACTTGCACTGCAAGGCTCACACCCCTCTTCTCTTCTGTGCCAGGGAATAGAGAAATCAAAGCAGACCTCTATCAGAACAGTCTGGGTTCTGCTTGGCCCTGGCTTCTGTGGGAGTGGAGGATACGCACGATGTCCCGCTGCAGACAGCTGCTCAAGGGCTCGCTGCCCTCCAGTGGTGGCTCTTCACAAGATGCACAGCAGCTGGCTACAAATGAGGAAGGCTCTGGACCCCAAAACAAGCACTCTACAGCCACAGCACTCCTTTTTGGTGTCTGAATCTCCTGAGACTTTAATATGGTAACCGAAATGATGTGAGAAAAATGCCAAGCAGGGGACCTTAGAAAAAGGTATGATTAAAAATATACACAAAATTAGATTATGTACACTGGAATTAAGCTAACATTGTGTCCAACTGATACTTGGGATGTACATCCTATCAAGATCCATAAAAGATTCATTTTAAGGTTGCTTAAATTCAGAGAATGTCAACCCTAAATTCATCTGTTTCCTGATGACTGGGTACTTGCTATGTTACCTAAACAGCAAGTCTACCTAAGCAGATGTCACCAACATTTCTGAAGACACCCCTGCTAGTTGGAAAACTGCATGTATGAGTTCCAAATTTAGGGTTAGAGATATTGCTACTTCAGTAAGGTCCCAGCAAGCCTCACGGCCCGCAGCTGGGCCCTTAGGGGCCTGTTGCTGGGAGGCAGACACAGATTGTTACGTGGCCATCCCTGATTACAGGCACTAATCCTGTTTTCACACAGCTGGTTGACTCTTCATAGTCTGATCCCTCATTTCCCATCAAAAGCATGCGAATCATTACAAACCCAAAGAAAGGTGGATGATTTTCCAGTCAGTTCCACACCTGCTACAGCTTCAGAGCATCCTTACAAATGTCACCTACAGGCACCAAGTCTGTGACGACTGTCAGTCCTGGCCAGGCCGCGCTCCCCCTGCACAGGGTTTTTCCCTAGTGTGGGTGTTAACTGATCTTCCTCCCTGAAACAGCCTCCACCCTGCCTGCCTTCAGAAGAGGGGCAAGGTGGTACCACAACACTTGCCCTAGGGCTTCAAATGGCCTGGGCACACAGGAACCCAGAGGAAAGTAGGCACAGAATGGTGTCCCAACAGAACACGTTGAGCTTTAACCCTTTCTCTCGTGAGTCCTCTGTAATGTCCAAATCTTACATTTATTGGGAAATCAATACACTCCAGGGGTCCTCTTTCAAACCTCCCAGAAACACAATGGAATGTGGGGGTTCTGGGTCTAGGTCATAACACAAAGACCTCAGACCTCGAAGAGGAGACAGGCTCCGATGGGAAAAGGCAAGCTCGGGTGCTGGTGCCTTTTGACTTCAAAGGCAATAATAAAAAGGCAACAGTAAGTCAATTAGCCCAGAGAGCTTGAGTCTTTTGCGGACATGAAAGGGGAGGCAATGCACATGGCACTATGCCGTGTTTATGGAAGAAAGAAGTGTCGCTGCCAACACATTTGGGTTTTTGACCCAAAGCAAAAACTCTCTTGGCCCTTCCTGACAGAATGTGTGGACACTAAGAAAAAGGCAATTCAACAAAGACTTTATCCTTTTGTGCAAATTTTTAACATTCCACCTTACAAAACTCAAGCAATACATGTGTGGCAGCTTCATTTGGCAAGCTTTCCAGGAGCCACACTCTTCCAGGCTGATGCACAGAATGCTTTGCTGTCCCTATGCACAATCTTGAAAGAGGCTTGAGCAAAGGCAGGTGACTGTCTAGCACTGGCCCCTGCCTGCTGGTTTCCGTCAGGGCTCCTCCTCCAACAGGTGAGGGTCTGTGTTCAGGGAAAGGTGCAGGAAGCTTCCCTGATAAGAATAGGACACCAATCTAAAGCCAGGGGCTGGCAATCCATCCTGACCTGGAGAGATTAAAAACAACCAAAAGAAGCTTGCTGGCTGGTGGTGATCCTTCTGGATGCAGGAGCAGCTTCATTCTCTCCTTGGCCCTGGCTTGCTGGGTGCCACCTGAAAGCCCCACTGTTTGCCTTGCTTTCCGCCCTTCGTGCCGCCGGCCTCCAGACCACTCGAGTATTCAGAGTGCAGTACTTCAGCGAGCACAAAGTGGTGCTTATTCCGGGTCTTCCTCCGAGGGTCAGGCCTAAGGAACAGTAATAGCAGAGGGGAAGACTTTAGTGTTTTTCTTTCCCATTTGGAAGGAGGCTGACAGCAGCTGGCTGTGAGACCAGGAAGCTGACATTTTTGTATTAGCAGAAGAGCAATCTCTTCAGTAGCACTTGTTTTGATATTCTATGCACCAGAAGATTAGATATGGTGCTGACAGATTTTCATAACGGTGGCAAAATATCATGGCATTTTTAAAAGTGAGGCTTTGTTCTGTGTTGTTTTCATGAAGGGTGGGGGAGAGAAGAAATGTACACTCTTGCACTCTGATGGCAAATGAGGTGTATGAGACAGCAGTTTGCCCGGGGATGGGAAAGCCCATAGAAACTCGACAGGGCAAAGCAGTTAGCTGCAAAGCTTCCATGTTCACAGCGTCACGCACCAACTCAGAGGCAATGACCAATTAAGTTCATACTGGCTTTCTGGCAAGTCCTTCAGCACCCCTACACAACGGAGACCCAGGAAAACTCAGTGTAAGGAGCTCCAGAAAGGCCTCTGGCTACTCTCTGACCTGACAGCATGTTCTGTACTGTGGAAGTCAGAGACTGGACAAAATAAACAGAAGTCCTTTAAAATCCAAGAATTAAAAACAGCCTGCACTGTGCTATTAGCCTTATTAGGAAGGGTGAAGATCCCATTATAATGAAGGTAAAGCCATTTATAATCCTATCCAGAGCACAGGGCTGCAGTTGTAAG